CTGCTGAAATCAAAGCTATTTAAATACAACCATAACATTAGGCCTGTGAATGTGTTCTCTGGAATAGGGAGAGGCGTACACATGCGCTTACATCAGTGCACAAATTAACACAGAGGTGTAACTAGCAGGTTTGACACCCTGGACAAAACTCTGCTGGGGAATGGGGTTTCAAGCTTTGGAGAGCAGGGAGGGGATGGAAGAGGGGAGCACACCAGAATGATCTGCCTTGGGATAGAGATGGGTGGGCAGACACTAGGACCTGTGGCAGCACAAGGAAAGTGCCCACAACTGAAGTTCCCTGCTGACAAACATTGCTGAAGTACACATCTGTGGGCTGGATCCAATGGCTCCATGGGTTGGATCTGGCCCACAGCTGAACCCCTAGCTTAGGTGAGTTTCATTTCTGTTCTTATGTACTGTGGCAGCTCTCTATACCACCTAAGCCTTAGTTCAGCATTACTTTCAGGGCTTAAGTGGAGCTTGTCCATCACCTTATGCAGACTCTTTGCAGATGAGTCTCTTTGCAGGGTGAATCCTCATTCAGATTCCTCTGCTGTTACTGTAGGTGTTGCATGTGGCTGCAGGAAATAGAACATCAGTCAAATAAGACAATCTGGTTTTTAAAACCACCAATATTGGCAATTGGTTGGGGTACACCCTGAAACTATCTTTGCTTTTCTTTTTAAGCAGCCTAGATTTCCAAATGATTACGTCTCTTATTTAAAAAAATATATTTAAAAAAGTATCTATAAAAAACAAATGATGCTTCACAAGCTATACTTCAGAATCATTATTTGCACAGATTATTTTGCCTAAACGCCTTCAATTTAAGAGCTAAGAACATTCAAAATTTAATCTACAAAAGGAACTTAGCATTATAAAGGAAGTCCCCACCCCCATTTATCTTGTAATTTAAGAAAGAATCAGTTATTTTTTTAAAATTGTCATTAATTTTTTTTCTGAGTAAAATCTCGTATGTCAACTTTCAGCAGGAAGTAAATTTGTATAACTAAAAGTATGAAGAGGACTAAAATGACAACGTTGAAAGAACCTAATGGTGTTATTTGGAGATGTTGCTTTAACTCAATGAAGTGAAAATAGCTTTCCATTCCTTGAAATTTTAATATGGGCTGTATTGTTGATTCTACTGACCTACTCAAGGGGGGGGGGGGGAATGTCATTTGAATAATCTTGACTGTCAACTGAAACCGTTCACTCTAGTATAATGACGAGATGAAAGTCCTTTTTTATACTTGAATAGTTTTTTTTGAAACATAAATTGCATTCTGAATACCCAGCTATAAGTAGCACATTTCTACAAGATGTAGTCAAAGATAGAAAAAATCATAAGCATAGGTTAAAATAACTTACATTTTAGCATTTGTACGATGTCTCTATTTTTATCTCTGTCCAGAAAAAAAATCCCAACTTTTTTTGCTGCAATTTTTCAGCCTCATATGTCTGATAAGTGTCTTGTCTCACCGCAGTGTACAGGGGTCTCTAGAAAGTAGTTAACTAAGGATTCACCTAGATTCTTGGAGCTGGTAACAAAGATGTACAAAAACCCAGTTGAAAAAGTAAGGTATACATTTTGGCCACCAGCTTCTACTTTCGCCATTTATTCTTTCTGTGATATTACAGGGCATTCCCCCATTCAAATCCTTCCTAATTGTATTTTCTTCAGTCACACAAACTGCAAATGGGTTACTAAGTGCCCTTAGGAAACTGCACATACACTCACTGGCCTGCTGGGCAGATGTTTCTTTTCAAATTTAAGGAAGTACCGGATTTTAAACTAGAAGCTTTTCCATCAGCTACTGAACCACAGGGAAGAGCATTAATGCGCTGGAGGTTGCTAATGGCAGACAACACAGCAAAAGATCGCAAGGGCAGGTGAATTCTAATGCTGTTGTTTTTCTCTCCCTCACGTGGTACCGTATGTGCCTTTAATGGAGCTCTGCAAATAGAAATCAACATCATGTAGTTTTAAACAACAAGTCAGCAACCTCAATTAATTCCGAGCTTTATCTCATAAGATAAGGGCCTCTGGAAGATATAATCTCTGAGAACCACTTCAAAAGGATTTAAAATCTTAATGAAAGCAGGCTTCATATTAATACAGGGTGCTGAGGCACCATTTCTCAGTGAAGCCATGCATACTTCATGCAGAAATGTCAAGGCAATAATAAATCCTGGAGACGGATTATGAAGTGACTAGAGAAGAGGAAGTCAAATTTCCAGACTGAATTCTTGAAAAAGCTGGGGTCAGTCAAAGAAAGAAAGTGTCCATCCAGAAAGAACTATAAATAAACATCATCTTTTTTTTTAAAAAAAAAAGATTGAACAGGAGTAGAAAACACTCAAGCTGTCATTTTAGTTGCATGTTGATGAGCCACTGAAGAGGTGCGTGACTGTTCTTAAGCATGTGGGAAACCAATAAACTTTCATTTTCCACATGAATGAAATGGACATATGTAGATGATGAAACTGCGTCCAGGTAAACACAACTGTTGCTATTGCTTTTCATGACCATCTCAGAATGGAGTGCACTGGAGTTATAGTGTTCTGGAGGTGCGCGCGTGACTGGTCCAAATCTTTGAGAGCTGACTCTGTCCCTTCCCCTCACCCTTACCATTTAGTTTAGTGGGGAATCTCTGTTTGTTTTTCAAGATTTCACCTCTTCGCAGTCTTGGTCAGTGGAAAGCTCCACATCAGACAGTCCAACCTCCATCGCCATAATCAATGAAATATCTGAATCGCTGCTCACAGTAGGCTCCTGTTCATCTGAAAGAAGACCAGAGACAGGAATGACATTCAAGCCCTTACATCAGTTTGTCACAGTTATTTAAATGCAGAGGTACTCCAGAAATCTGAATCCAAACCTCCTTGATGCCTGCTTGGATCCTGAAGGTTGTTCCTGATCAATCTCTGCCTGAAATTTTTTTAGAAATCAAACCCCCGACAGGGGTTACTTGTGACTAAAACAAAATTACCAGAACTTTCACTCATTTCTTCCAGTCCTGTAAAGGCTCCTGGCCCAGTCCCCTGGTCCACAAAATCACCCTTCTCCTCCATGAATAGGGATCTACCAAAATTGCAATTTTGTCCATTTCATGAAATCCAGCATTGCCCACAAATTCGGGCAACGCCCTTGAAATCCACAAGAAAAAAAAAACACTAAAAAGAAAGTGCTGGCTTCTCAGAGGGAGCCAGTAGTTTTCATGGTGCCGTGGCAGCCCACCAGAGTGAAGTTGCCCACTCGAAGGACTGCAGGGAGTCTGATTGCTGCTCCCACCCCTTGCTCCTAATTGGCTGCAATGGCTGCCTGTCATATGGCCCTTCCCCTCTTCACCGGTCAGTGGCGATGGGAGGGGCCACGTGACAGGCAGCCCTTACAGCTAATCAATGGTGACAGGCAGGGCCACCAGGGTCCCTCAGCCAATTAGAGGCATGGGACACCTGTTGCCCTTCACCTGAGAAATGGCTGCTGAGCCCAGCATTTTGCCCATCAAACTGGGGGGCAGCCACCCTGAATTTGGTAGGTCCCTATCCATAGGTACTTCTTCCCCGTCCCCATCAACTCTCTACAATACCACGTAGACCCCTAAGTTGGTTACACACATTAAACACAGACATACTCCAAGTTGCAGGTGAGTTGCAAGTATATTGAAAATATTTGGGGAAATATTTAACTGGATTATATATCTGTGCTAAGGCCTATTTTCCCAGAATTATTAGAGACTAACACAAAGAACCAAATAACTTTTGAACTTTATTAGTGTAAAACAATAAAGTGCATTAAATAAGAAAGAAGTAATTTATGGGCCAGTACCAATTAGTAGTAAGTCAGGCTGGCAGATAAGAGATCTAGGAACCAGGTCTTTCCTAGACCGTTATATATTGTTCAATCAAGCCTTTCAAGGATCACAGAAGAATAGGTTTGGTTTGGTTTTCTAGAGACTCGGAATCATTGGAGATTTTTTTTTAAATTGCACACTTTCCCCCACACCATATAAACTAGAGGCTTAAAAGCTTAGCTTGGGAACAGAGTTATAAAATAAGTAGGATTCCTATTCCCTGTGTGCCACAACCCCAGAAGGAAGTTAAAGGAAGGCAACTTAGTAAGAACACATTTCCTTGCATGCTTGCACTTCTTTGTTTCTGTTCTGTGCTGTTTTATTCATTTTATGCTAGCAAAGCTTGTTTAAATATGGGTCATCTGAGCAGTTTCTCTTGTCATTAAAAAAATAAAAAAGTGGCCAAGGGATGAATATGACAGGCAGGATTAAGCTGCTTATCTGGCATTTGATCAACAGATGTCCTATAGGCAACCACCAGCTCCTGGGTCCTTCCATCCAGGCAGCACAGTCTATTCCATATTGGGCAGAAGAGTCTTTGCCTCATGTCTTCCCTCTAGGGCAGTGGTTCTCAATCATGTTGACTCAAGGCACCCCTCAGAAAATGCCAGTTCTTAGCGTTTATTCTTTCCTTAACTATGGAAAAAAGATAGAGCAAGTCTTTTGTTGCAAAAGAACTCAGAAAGCCTCAGAACTTGGAGTGTTTTTTGATACTATGGATTCCTATTTGAAATCTCTGGGTTTGTCTTTTGAACCACCTGTAGATGTCTGCATGCTTAAAAGTGTTAATACTGAGTGCCACCCTTAAAAGGATCTCATGGCACCCTGGTTGAGAATCATTGCTTTAGGGGCAAAGCAGTGAAAAAATTATCCCTTTTGCAAAGACCTGCAGCTATACTCTGGTGACATCTCACCCAGAGTCCCAGGGTTTTTTCCTTAATCCACCCTGATCTTGATTAAATTTAGAGACAGATCAATTAACTTTCACTTGAGTGCAGATCTCTCTATGCTCTATTAATAGGATGAACCACACTTTTTCATAGCCTGAGCCTGTAGCTCTTATTGTAATGCATCCAACTGCTGTTGAAGCCAATGGCTGATCTGCATATTAAATGACCGTAGGAGGCCATCTCTCCATTACAGTACAGATCTTTAGAGAGAAGGCGATTCTTTCATAGCCGGCAAAACTTTTTAATTAGAGTGATAACATTTGATGAAGATAGAGCACTTTTTCCTTTCTTTATTTTTCAGAGCTCATAATTAGATGACAGAAACCAAGCTAGACTAACACTTAAACTAAAAAGTCTAAATACAGATAGAAAATTGCAATTTCTTAGATATTCAAATAATACCTTAAGCAAGCCAGAAAAGTGAAACATGCAGTTTGCTCATTTATCCTAAATTAAATGAATACAATCTCCTGTCAGCCATCTCACAATGCCTGTGGAATCTTAAAAAAGTGGTTATTAAAGAAAAAGTGTATATAGTTTCTCATGCTCTTGTCAGAGGTGAGACTTTGGAAAGAAATGTTATGAACAGCTGGGTAAGTAAAGGTTAAAATCAATCCCTGCTTATCATTTCTTCCCTCCCAAATGTTAATCTTTTTATATATAACTACAAGACAAATAATTTGGCACTCATACTGCTTTATCTCTGTATATACTAGAGGTGCACCAATATATTGACCAATCTCAGATTGGCACCAATGAAAGGAAAATTGGCATTATCGGCAATTGGCTCTTTTTGGCTGGTGTAGCCGATAATGTCACTGATAAATGCCGTGTGCATGTGCACAGCTGCAGCATTCATATGGCCAGGAATGCAGCTAGGCAGCTTGGAGAGCAGTGTCTGCCCAGTAAGTCTCTGTGGGGGGAAAGAGGTGTGTGTGTGGGGGGGCCAACTGAGGCGCCCACGGTGAGGGAGAGAGTGGGGCTGGGGCAGGGTGGAGCGCAGGACAGAGCCACAAATAGCCTGCCTGGGGCGTGTGTTTGGGGGGGATCCCACTGCTGTGTGCACCCCTGGGGGAGACATGGGGAGCACATGCCCCTGGATTTGTGCATGGGGTGAGGGTGGGCTGCCTGCGGCGCTGGGGGGGGCATGCTATAGGGTGCTACAGCCACCCCAAAATTTCCTGTAGACCCCCTTCCCAATGCCCCCACTGCCCACCCCATCCCGAGTGCAGCCCTGACAGAGCCTCCCTGCTGGGAAGAGGCCAGCGCAGCCCCTGCCCTGAGCCCGCAGTGGCAGCTTGCCCTCCCCCTGAGCACAAATCCAGGGCACATGACCCCCATACCTCTCCTGGGAAAGCACTCAGCAGTGGGGAGCCGCCCCACCACACCTCCCCCAGACAAGATGCCTGTGCCTCCGCCCCGCAGCTTGCCCTGGCTGGGCAATGCCTGCCCCTGCCCCAGCCCTACTCTCTCCCTCTCTGTGGGTGCCTTGATAGCCCCATCCCCGCCCCTTCCCTCCTCCATGCCTCTTTCTCCCCACAGACTTACTGGCTGGACGCTGCTCTCCAAGCTGCCAGGCTGCATGTCGGCTATCGGATCAATATCAGCCAATATGGCTGGTTAATAATTGGTCATCGGTATCGGCCAAAAAAACTCTTCATTGGTGCACCTGTAGTATACACTCATCGGTGTCACAGAAGGTAAAAGCCTGAAATCATTTGCCTTGACCTTCAGTGCTGCCACTGGAAGTGAAGGAAATACTTTTTGAATGAGTAACATATAATGCAGAAAAACAGGCTTTAATTATACTGAATTGTTTGTTGAATCAAAACAGTGAAAAAGTACAAAGTCATATAGTATTTAAACCTATGACAGCATTTTTAGTAACAAAAATTACCTTGGCCTAAAATATACTATTTTAGACTAATGGGTTTTAATGGGCGTTCTATAACTAATAGGATTTTAAAAATATAACAAAAGATAATATAAACAAATTCACATTAGTTTACATTTCATTGAGAACATGTTACATAGATTACATTGCTTGATCATATATTAGAATAAACAGCTGGAGGGTTCTCAAGACAAAAGAATTTTAACCTGAACTAGGTACGAGATAAAGATGAACCACCTGATTTGGGCCTGCTCTCCACAGTTATGCCAAACCATCATGGTGGCTCTCCAGTGCATATGTTGTAGTAGTATAGTATACACATTTTTGGTGCTGCAGTGATATTCAAGGATTCACTGTTTTTCAGGGCCACACAGACATGGAAAGAGAGATCTCATCGGTGTCCCAACAGATGGAGAAAGTGGTTGTGGAGACCTGCCTAGTTCTTACGTTTCCACACTCAGAGATGGTAAAAACTTTCCAAATTCATATACTTCCATTCTGCCATCAAAGGTTATTTTCTTTGGGGGGAAAAAATGAACCGCACTAGCCATTGCATAACACTCTGGGTAAAGTCTGCCTTTATAAAAAAGAAAAAATAACCCGTTGTCCATGTGCTGGCATTGTAAACTACATTGTTATGAGAATGAAATTCAGTCAGATGCAATGGGTCATTAAAACTAACATTCAGACAATGCTTTGAGGGTCATATTAATTTATTTCCTCTTTGCTATCAGAACTTCAGAATCAAAGGCTGGAGCCCCTCCATTTCAGCCCAGTACGTTCAAAAGAAAGGATGCAAAGAAGATATAAAGGAAAGCCAGTTTCTTCACAGTGAAATTACATTCCTCTTCACAGTCTCAGTGCTGAATTTCATTTGAAAGATGTGAATAACACAAGAAAGCAGATGCATCTCTGTGCATTTAATGCATGATCCTGCACCAGTGAAATAATAAGACTTGTTCAGGTGACTTCAGTGGACAGAATCAGGAGTTATAAGACAGAGTTTCAACAATTTTCAATGTGCATATCTGGCTGTAAACAGGGTTCCAGATGAATGGTGGCTATGCCAATATGCTCAGTAAT